AAGAGAAACAGCGGTGGAACGACCGCGCCGGTCTACGATGCGCACGCGCTCGAGTAGTTCACTTACAGTAAGTTGCATCACAACAGAAATAGGTATAATTCACTACCTAACTGCTGTTTAGTTTGCAAATGAGTCAGCGTTGTGGCCTGTGTTTCAGTTATGGAGGGAGCAGACGGCATAGCCAGGCATAGCAGACGCCACAGCGGGTCAGTCAGCTTCAAGCGCGCAGATGGCCCGAGGCCGCTCGGGACTTTTAGATCACGTGCATGTGACGTAACCACAAGTGAGTCGAGGCGTCCGCGGGCCGTCCACGAGTGATCCGGGACTTGGTAAATAAATCGATGAAGCTCTTTGTGTCATGTAGTGCGATCAATATCGCGTGCCAGCTTGCATCGAATTTTCATGGGATTAGGTCCGGACGTCCGGGCCACCCTGTCAATTTTTTAACGTGCTCCGTCAAAACAGTACCTATCAGGGTGTAAATGCGGTTTACATGGCAACTACGTATGTGGAAATAGAAGTTATGGCGAGTAACGGAAAAGTGTCGGTCCAGCTAAAACTCTTAGCAAGCTCACCAAGCCCCTTCTTATTTAAATACTTACGCAGCAATGTTCATAAAGGCACCATTCTTTGGTGCGCACCGCTTGGCAGAATCAGTGCGTCATTATTAAAAAAAAAAAAAACTTAATCATGTTTGCGCTTAAGGTCCCTAGATGAAACAAGTTTCCAAGGTAGCGACACCTTTTCCTTTCCTCTTCGATGGATGGATGAATGAATGAATATGGCTGTACTCTTTAGATCGGGCGGTGGCCAGCGCCACCAAGCCGCAATACCTAATGAACCAAAAGCTATATTTATTTATTTTTTTCCGTAAAAAAGGGTTTGAGGATTCGTACTTTGCAGTGAAGAGTTTAATTTTCACTCGTGCCTTGACTTTAGCCACCAATCAGATAACCTCCTTCTAGTTAAGTCTACCCGCTTAAAGTTTATTTTGCCCTCCCGGAGTCCCGGTCCCTAAACCCCAGTGCTTTGAAAAACTCTGCGCCATCATCCTGAACTATAGGGTGAAGCCCTTTACAGAGCATTATCAAGTGTTCGGCAGTTTCTTCTTCCTCTCCACACGCACTGCATTCTGTGTCTACCCCTTCGTATTTGGCCCGATATGTCTTGGTTCGCAGTACTCCCGTTCTGGCCTCAAACAGTAGAGAACTACCCCGAGTATTATCATAGATCCTTTCCTTGGCAATTTCCTGCTTAAACGTTCGATAGATCTCTAGTGCGGACTTCTTAATCATGCCCATTTTCCACATGTCAGTCTCCGTCTCCTTCACTTTCTTCTTAACCGATAGTTCTTTTTGGTTTAATTGGCCCCCTGCTGTTTTTTAAGTATTTAAAAGTAAATTTTCTGGTTCGCTTCCTCCATTTTGTATCGACATTCTTCATGTACAAGTAGCTGAAAACCTTCCTAGCCCAACGCTCTTCCCCCATTTCTCTCAATCGCTTCTCAAATTTTATCTTGCTGCTAGCTTCCCTGCCCTCAAATGATGTCCATCCCATATCACCTTGTACTCCCTGATTTGGTGTATTCCCGTGAGCTCCTAAAGCAAGCCTACCTATTCCACGCCACGTTGCTTAATTTCTAATCTTGCTTGAACTTCTGATCTCATGCACAAGACCGCATTGCCGAACGTCAGCCCAGGAACCATGACCCCTTTCCATATTCCTCTCACAACATCATACCTATTGTAATTCCACAGTGCCCTATTTTTCATGACTGCTGCATTCCTGTTACCTTTAGTCGTCACGTATATTTCGTGTTCCCTCAGATACTCGGTCCCATTGCTTATCCATACGCCCAGATATTTGTATTTATCTGTTATGTCTAGCGTGACCTCCTGTATTCTAAGCTCACTACCTTCGTTGTCATTGAAAATCATGTCTGCTGATTTTTCCTTACTGAATCTAAAATCTAACCTATCTCCCTCATTACCACAGATGTCCATCAATCTCTGCAAATCTTCCTTGTTGTTGGCCATTAGCACTATATCATCTGTGTACGTTAATGCTGGTAGTGCCTGATCAATAAGCTTTCCTTGTTTGACTAAAGAGAGGTTGAAGCCCAGTCCAATTCCCTCTAATTTGGCCTCTAATCTTTGTAGGTACATCATCAATAATAAGGGTGACAGGGGACACCCCTGCCTAAGCCCCCGTTTTACCTCTGCAGGCTTGGATACCTGTTTTTCCCACTTTATAACTACCTTGTTACCTTTATAGATACCCTTTAAAAGATTAGTGACTACATGTTCCACGCCTAGTGTGTCCAGTATTCCCCATAATTCCTCTTGAACCACGCTATCGTACGCTCCCTTGATATCCAAAAATGCCAGCCACAGGGGCCTGTGTTCTTTTTCTGCTATATAGATGCACTGCGTCAGTGAGAACAGATTGTCTTCCAACCTCCTGTGTTTCCGAAACCCATTCTGCAGTTCCCTCAGCACCCCCTCATCCTCTATCCACGCCTGCAGTCTTTCCTTTATAATCTGCATCGCCAGCCTGTAGACCACCAGCTGATGTCACTGTTATAGGACGGTAGTTGTTTATGTCAGCTTTGTCCCCCTTTCCTTTATAGATCATGCTCATTCTGCTAAGTTTCCACCCATCGGGAACTTCACCATCGATTATTATTTTGCTCACTGCCTCTCTCGAAGCCTGCTTAGACTTCGGACCTAATGTCTTTATCAGCATAATTGGAATGCCATCTGGGCCTGTTGATGTACTACTAGGAACCCTTTTCTCAGCCCTTTCCCACTCTCGTTGTGAAAATGGAGCCATTGCACCACTTGATTCGTCCTTGTCTATTGTGGTGCATAAAGTACTTCTTTGTTGAAATTTTTCTGTCACTTTTGTTCTTATATATTAAATCGCTTCGTCCCCTTCTAGCCTAGCACCTTGGGCTGTAGTTATAAATCTCTGCTCTAGGCTCGTCTCATTTCTTAGGGAGTTTAGATGGTTCCAAAATTTCGCAGCTGCCTTTCTATCTTTTTTATGTACTTCTGCCAGCCACTGAGCTCCCTTCCTTCTAATCTTTTCATTGATCAGAAGGGATGCATCCCTTCCACAGCTTAGAAAGGTTGGCCATTTTCTTTCAACATCATCTGTCGGTTCACCCCGCTGCTTAGCATGTCTGTGTTCCCTAGAGGCTTCCTGACGTTTTGCTATGGCTCTCTTAACTTCCTCATCCCACCAACTTTCGGGTTTGTGTCTTCTTTTCCGGGGTGACTTGTCACGCGTCTTAGCAAGCTCTAGCTCAAAGAGTCTAATTAGATTCGTGTATGTCCACACTGTCTTATTATCCTCCGTGATTACTTTCTCAATTTGTTCGCCTATGTTCCTAAAGCGCCCCCTAGAAGGTTTAACACTTTCACCCAAAAGCGAATGTTTGAGTTCTGTTGCTACGGCGAATAGATGTAAATGAAACAAAATGGAACAAAATAAGACGTAGAATAAACAGTTACCTTTATGAACATAAACGGCACAACACAAGAGCAAGCGGGATGTGCGTTACTCAACCGGCAGCGTTGTGCAGTTCTATACTTTACACCACAGAAGCCTTCCTCCGTGCTTTACACCACTAGCCATGGCGTCTCGCGTAGTACATTTTAGTTCCACGGCCGCGGTATTTGGTCCATTTTGTTTTGTTCGTGCTGTGACACAGTGAACGTGATTCTTGCTGGATCCGGTAAGTGGCCACAGGGCGTGACGTTGTGACGATTGATTACAACCGGCTTGTGCACACGCAAGAAAAAAAAAAAAAAAAAAAACTACGACCAGACTGGTACGAACACTCGTCCAGCAGCACTGCGATGACGTTTTTTTTTTTTTTTAAATTTGCCCATTTGGACAATCGTGATGTCAAGTGATTCTGATGCGGTGCTGGGAACTTCCTGAAAAGTGAGAGTTCTACTGGTGAGGTGTCTCGAAGCAGCGCGTTTCTGCTCAAGCGGGAACTGGTCAAGAGTGAAACGTTTCTGAAGGTGCGTTGATTACAACCTACAGCTGCTCTGTATACGTGCATACCCACATGTATTTGTACCAACTGGCATGCACTAGACAGGCATTAGATGCGCGCCTGGCGTTTCAATAAAAACCGACAAGTGAACTCGCTTCGCAGATCTGCGTCGACATACGTTGACAGAGTTGCACGAAAGCATTCGCGTGAAATGGTTCATAGTTGCACTTCATGGTGCGCTTCATTTCCGAAAGCACGAGGTAAGTTGAAGAGAGCGAAACCATTTTCTGTTGTTTACGGCAACGCAGCATTGCTGAAAAACGCAGATGTTGCATTCAACGAGCATGGCGAAACAATCTTGGTCGACTTAGCGCACACCGAAACGCTCCTCCTCTTCAGTTTATGTTCTGGCTACGATTTTGTCTTTGGTCACGACGAGAATCCGGCTGGAGCCATATGCGCATGCGTACTTGTTTTGAACCTTTTGCATAATAATAAACAAGAATAAATAACACCACTAGCCATTTGCAAGATCACGTGCAAGTAATGCACCAATTACAGACGCGGATGGCAGAGAAAAAGAGGAGTAATTGAGAGAGTGAGGAGGACAGCTCGAGAACAATGAGTGACACTACCTTGTTTCATCTAGGAACCTTATTTGTTTTGAAAGCGTAGCGCCATCTATTGGGACTGCGTTGAAGTAATAAGTACTGCGTGCTCACAACTCTCATAAATGGCGCTAACTTGTAGCACTTATTTTATTAAGCTTGTATTTTGCATTTTTATGTCTAGAAAAATGTTAAATTTTATTTTAAAAGATTAAAAAAAGTTTTTTGTTTCTCGCAAACTTGTTGCTTTGGCACTCATAAAAAGGGCACTAGGTGGTGTGAGCTACTGTCCGGTCAAAGTCTTATCCATCCATATGTTCAATGACAAAGAGAAAAGAGCGCGCGAAGCTAAAGTAGCGAAACCGTCGGTTGCTGATATATGCCCAACGAAAGTTCTAAGACGCGTTTCGATGCTTTGTGCCCTTGCTCTAGCATCACGTTATCGTCAAAATGTCACAACATGATAGATCTTCGCGCAACGAGTGTAACATAACAACTAAGCTAGTAAGTACAACCATGTGATTTGATGAACCTCGTCGACTTGGATGCATTTAATGTTGATTTTCTCAAGGACTTGATTCTCGCAAACTCTGCGAACTATTTGCACTCTCAATGTATGCCCGACTGCATTAACGTGTTCGTTTAGAAAGGTGGCGATTAGTTTGAGTGAATGGCTAACAGAAAGCGACGACCTGCCGATCAGACGACAGCGTGCATACCACATGCAAACACACTGTTCGCGGCTCAGGACGTTGGCGCCGTCCGCGGCTGACACCGCGCATGAAGCTTCCTCTCATGCTTGATATTTTGCACGACGTCCTAGCTTGGCGTATGATTATTTCTTATATAATAACGGCGTCGGTGTTTACACAATTGTGGCTTAAGCGGCCGACTGTTTGCCCTAGACAAGTGTGATTTGGACTGTATACAGTCGTCAGCAAGTTTAACACGAACGCTTCTCCGCGTGTTCTGAAACAGTTTGACGCTTGCGCCTCGTAGCTTTGGGTTCTGTTGCCGAGACTTTACCAATTAATGCCGAAACACTATCCAAGCATACCTCGGTAATACCTCGGCAACAGCGCTTCGCGGCTGGCATTAGTCAAAGTAGTCCAGGTCACAGGTCTTAGCGTTCGTGATAAGCTTGCTGACGACTGTACATTGATGTGTTGGTCACAGCCGTGGTTGGTTGAAGACACAGACAACATGGCTGTAGTATATTCTCGTCTGCGCGTCTTTAAAGAAACAGTGTGAGAGAGAAAAGACATTTATTTGGGCCAGAGCGAACAGTATGAGGCGTTTAGACATCTAAAATCCAGCTGATTCCATGTGAGAATGGGAATGCCGAGCCACTCTGCCATGTCTGGGCCTTCACAACAGCCAGGATCTAGTTGTAATAGCTGGTGTCGTTGATTGCAGCAGTCCACCAGTCTCCATGACTGCAGACCTGCAATGCAAGGCATTGCCAGAACATGTGTTTGAATGAGCTACCACTCAGCAATGTGGCCATGTTGAGTCCATCTCCATATGTATCATACTCAGGAAGCTCCTCCAAGGATGTCAACCTGTTTGCAGCATTTCGAATTTAATTAGATAGTGGTCTGCTAAATTCATCGTGAAGAGATGGAACACCCAGCTAGTCTCCCTGTAGTGCAAGGTAATCTCATGAAAGTAAACTAGCGGATCGCCAAACTCTGGCTGTTTTCGAATCATTACCGGGCCCCACACTGCCACAGCATGATTATGAGCGATCTCATTGGGGTTCAGTTCAATTGGCATTACGTCCAGACGCTAGTGAGCTGAGTACTAAAAAATTTGATGAATTTCATCCTCTAAGGGCCTTCGTTAAGAACCCTCATGGCGTTTTTGAGATGACCTGATTGAATGCCCTGACGGCAGCTCGTGATCCAGTGTAATGAGGCAGTGTAAACAGTGGTGTGTTCATAGTCTAGTAGTGCTATAGAGATTTGTGTACTTTCCGATGCCAGAGTTCTGTTATGACTTACACATTTGCAATGTTCACTGTTTGTTTACAAACTCGCCACAATAGTCTACTGGTTACGGTACTTGACTGCTAACCCGCAGGTCGCGGGATCGAGTCATGGCTGTAGCAGCCGCATTTTTGATAGAGAGGTAAAAATTCTTGAGGCCCGTGTACTTAGATTTAAGTACATGTTAAAGAACCCCAGGTGGTCGAAATTTACAGAGCCCTCCACAACGACCTCTATAATAATCATATTGTGGTTTTGGAACATTAAACCCCAACAATTATTACTGTTTGTTTACAGCACATATGGACATTATCATATACCTGAATAGCAGTGCGGACAATGCACCGATCAATGTTCAGGTAGTGCCAGAACTCTGGTGGAATGGAGGGACCTTGTCATGAATGCCGATGGTCTGAAGCAGGCCGAGACATTGCATATGCTGCTGACAGGACTACCGACCTGAAGGTACAGTCTGATGATAAACACTTGGCATTTTGAGAAATCTGTTGGCTCTGCCAAAGCAGGGACAATTCTTGCACAAGTGGTGACGAAAAGAATGTCTCCGAAAAACGGGTCAGCTTTTGAAGAGGCTAGTTTACAGCAAACACTTGAGTGGTGAATTATTTAAGGCCTGCATCCTATTTTTCCCAAAGGTGCAGCACCCTTCTTATAATGCAGACATCTTTGTCACGACTGCTTTCACGAACCTGTTCAAGTTGTGTGAGAAAGAAGGAAACCTTCATTCTCATCAGCTCTGCGTAAACTATGGAGATGCAATGATGCTAGAAAATATCGTCAGATCAGTGCCCAGCTGATAGAATTTACACTATTGCTTCACCATCAAACCAACTGTTCTTTGAAAGAACTTGCACATCCTAAAGAGTATTAAGTAACAGTGCTTCTTTACTGCCCATACGCTTGCTATTCGAGGCCACTAGGACAGTTTGTCAAATGATTCTGCAGACAAGGATAGCATCCTAGTGATTTTGACTTGTCTTGACAGGCACGATCTTTTTCTGGAGCAGCATCTCAAGGAAGCACCCAAAACGATGTGATGAATGTAACAAGATAGCTGATGCAAGAAAAAGTTGCATCACAAATTCTTAGAAGTCAGATAATTTTGAGCATCAACTGGATGTTACATTCAGTTCATAGACACTCGTATGATGGAAAATCACCTATGTCATCAGCATACAAGAGTTCCTTTGAAGGAAATTCCCTTTGATACTGTGCATGCAGCCACACTCATTGCAATAGAACTGAAAGGTGGGCTAGTTGGATATGCATGGTGTAACTGGGTTAAGCGCACGAAGAAACACAAAGCGCTTGTTCTGTGTTCTTTTCTGTTTGTGCTCTTAAACCACAGTTACACCACTCTCATTGACTTAAATTCAGTGTCTCTGCAGATGTCAACTTTTAAGCAACAAACAGGATTGCTAAGGTGCTCGGCAAAACTTGACTTTTGGAATGACATACTGCTCTGGAAACCTTTCTTTCACTTTCCAACCCAATAGCAGCACCAAAGGCACATGGTGTTTACACGGACCTTGAGATGTTCAGCTCAAGCTCAGTTTCCTTAGCTTGGTGCTTATCTAACAGGCTGCAAACATGACACAGATCATCAAGGCATTCATAATTGATCCTCTGAAATGTACTGGACATGATTTTACCAATTATAACAAAGCTTCAAAAATGAGATAAAGAAGTTTATGCATACAATATGATTCACACAATCATCACTTATCTCAAGTCCATGCTCAGACAAATCGGCATGGAGTTCTGCAAGTGATTTCAGATGGCTGATGTACTAGCTCTGCCAACACAGGTTTCAGATCGTTACAAGTTGGCTTTTCATCATAATGTGTGAATGTGCCATTTTGGGATGCAAACCTTTCTCAATAATGTGATCTAAGAGACAAACTCGTTTCACCAAAAGTACTGAGAGAGGAGTGCACCGCTGTGAATGTTGTTGTCTGTTATTAGCCCAGTTGATCCAGAGAAGCTGAGGCAGCACTTGCTCGTTAAGGAAATAGGTCTGCCGTCACTCAATATAGGGCTGTAAAAATGGTACCACTATTTATTGCAAGAAGAATGCACAGACAACAAAACATTGGTATTTTGATGAGCAGTACTGATAAGGATGTTTCTGAACTGTAAGACATCCTTGTGCAGTGGAGGGATTGTACTATGTACAGGTGTTGAGATAGAGACGAGCTTTTACTCCTTGCGCCACACTGTAACTTTCCCACCATTGACACAGACAGGTGAAACTCTGGTTGGGCTCCTGCTGCTTTGCATCTACTGAAACGTGGGCACTGATTCAGAAGTCTTGAGCTAGTTTACTACGAGACATTGCTGCAGTATGTTTGGAAGGTATCTCTTTTACCATTAAGATCTGATAGAGACTCTACCACTGTCAGTGACCCACGTTTGTAGCTTTGTGAAAGTGGTGAAACTGAAGAAAGCTCCCCAAAACATGACTCCTTCATCTCTTTGTTTCAGTGTTTTACACTGCTTCTCTTGTTGGCTTAATTGGGCTGGAATATTCTGAAAACTGCTGAAGTCTTGTCGTTACCTTATCGTGATACAGGCATGTATGTATACTGACATGTATATGTTTCATGAGTTAACATTTCAACAATATTTTTCAAATGTCATATGGTAAATTTCTCATGCCAATAAAGTGATGATCTTCTAGACCTTTACTGTTTGGTATTAAAACATAGCAAAAGCTTTGTGACTTGAACTCCTTGCAATCGTGTAATCAGTGCCACATTTCAACTCTGGAAACGCAAAGCATTTTGATAGGTATGTCTGCTAGTAAGCGATGTGAACTGTGTCTTTTCCTGTAGCACAATCCATAGAATGTCTGTCAAAGCCTCATTTAATCTACAGGGACAGTAAGAAGCACTATAAGAATGTCTATTTAGCTATGTAACCCACACGCATTACGATGCACGGCCTTTATTGCCATAACATGTAATCTAATTTAGAGAATCAAACCCTTTTTTTTTTTTGTAGTTCAAAAGAAGGCCCTTGTTCACTTTCGATCACTATTTCGATGGCGTGAGGACACACACATAATTGGTTTTAAGAAGCTTTTTATAGTTTTCTATAAGTAGGGCTACTTTCTCCTTTTAGAGGGAAATGATGTTTAATGCGTTTTTTTTTTTTTTCAATTCATGTTGACCTAGCCGAAGCAAGCCACCCCATGCTCTGCCTAGTTGCTTTACGGCATCTAACGTAAAATAGTTCACAGTGAAAAGAAGCGTCGGCACTTCTCGTGTATTAAATATTCGCGACATAAAAGCAATCGTAGCTTTTCTGAACAGTCTCGGTGGTCTGCTGATACAGACATCAGCAAGAGGTTCAAGGTGCAAGGACGCACGTGCAGAGCAGCCAAAGGTTTCCAGATGGTGCTCTCGTACAAAGTATCAGCGCCCATCTCATAGCGTGAGATATATCGTGCAGGCCACCTTCAACACCGAGTAAAGACGAACAAAGCACGTGCATATTTATGAGCCAGGCCTAAATGACATCGTTGCATGCCGTGCACGGCTGCCTGTATATTTTACGAGCGCAATTTACATTTTGCCAACGCAAACCCTACATTCTCGCACAGGGGGTCGCCAGATATCTTGTCACTACTGGCGAGAGATCAAAGACGTACCCTCCTAATATGCTAAAGAAAAAGGAAGGGCGTCTAGCTGATGCATGCGCACGTGGTTCAATATTTTTTTTACCTTTGTACGAGTCAAACGTGAAGTTCTGTACTTCTTCTTTAAATCCATGTTCGCGAACATGGTGCTGCCGAAGATCTAGAAGCTTCAAAAAAAACTTTAGACACAAGTCGCTCGCGATAGTCTTTCCTTCACCGCACTCCTTTGTTTTTGCTGTTGCCAAGGCTTCTTCTCCATGGACATTTTTTATGTGCCTTTTTAAATTGCTTGCATTTGAAAAAGCCTTGTCGCAGATAGTACAGATCTTGTCAAGTCTCGTGGAGGTGCTAGCGCGCGCCCCGGCGCTCTCGCTGCCGTCCATCGAGAGCATCCAACAGAACTCGGGAGACGGGAACGTGAGGCTCACTTGTTGCAGGATCGGCAGGAACTGTAGGTAAACTGGGAAAACTTGGCATCGCCTCATAGGGAATAATCGAGTTCATGATTTCTCTCGTGGTTGACGCTGCGCCGTCTTTATAATTCCCCAGAAAGCGATGTTGTACCGAGCGGTGATGTCTGCATCGAACTAGCCAATGAGAGCGAGGATCATCCTCCTGGAGTTACCGCTTCACGTGAAACCTGGACAAATTTAACCCCCATGATGTGCATCGCTTTGCCATTGCGTTTCAGATTTAGCATCAAGAATAATGAAATATTTTTAAGACACTTGACAACAAACATGCTTGTTTTTCGCTCTAAAGTACGCATTTTCTATTTATAAAAACAACAGTGCATTGTCAATTGACAAACACTTAGCATTTTATCAGCTGCGATGCCAGGTGCATCTGCCTAAGTGATCTGCCTCCAATGGACCTCTCGTTTTGTTTTGAAGTCGAGTCAGTGGAGCATGACGGTGCGTCTGCTTAGCTTCGTCATCATTTTGCAGTCGATTCGAACAAGTTTTCTTAAGATGTGCTCGTGAAAAAACATGAACTTGATGCAATACCCTGTATTGGCATGAGACGCTACATCAGTGCACAACGATGAGTGGACAACGCTTCGTTTCAACTGTCAATTTATGACTTGTAAAGCTCCAAAGGCGCAGCAAATCAAGAGACCTAGTGGCCTGTGGCCTCTTCGAACAACAAAGGCACTGCTTCAGCGCTTTTCACCGCACTCCACTACCCGCACTGCGCAAAGAACAAAACTGAAACTGTAGGAGAAGATCTGTAAGCAGTTCGCTAGCTAACACTATCCAAAATGGAGCCTGTACTTCACATAATTACCATGGGGGCATATAATCGCAGAGCCAGATTCCTCTCTAGGTATTGTTGTATGAAACTCTATGAGCCCCCCCATTTGTTACTAAGGGTGCTACGATCACATGTTAGAGCACGTCATGAAATTGAACACTTGCTTTATTTAAACGCAGTGCACGCAGCGGCCGCGATAGCTATATGCCGCTCGCGATGTTGAAATCAGCCAATGGCTACATCTTTCGAGCGTGTGATGCAGTTCATTCTGTGTTTATGGCATCACTTTCTTTGTGAAAAACGCGAACTTTTTATATTGGAATTAGTAATTTAATTGAAAATTTCCTGCTGTGTACTGCACCATAATTTGTCTCGTGAATTTGAACTTCGTCGGAACTTCTACTACACAATTGGCATTTTCGGACTACGTTAAAAAAAAAAAAAACATGTTGCCGGGCCACTAATGCAGTTTGAACTGGTAAGTTATTACAGCTGAACTGTTTTGCTCGAGGTTTGAGAGGTGTTGTAGATGAGAGGGAGAAAACTTCATAAAAAGTAAATTACTTCAGGCATGTCTCGTCACCCCCAGCTGTCGGCCGAAATCCCTTGAGACACGGCGGCAGCAAGTGCTTGACTGATTCTGTTGCGTTGGACGTTGGGGTCTGGGCTGCGGAGCACGGCCTCCCAGGATTCTACAGTGTGGGCGAGAAAAATTATGATTACTGTTAACAGATATGTGCTTCTTTGGTGCACCTATTCGTCACCTTCCTCCTGTTGCTTTTCTCCTTTGCCCTCGGAGCACGTGTGCCAGAAACACAATAACCTCTGTGGGGTGAGAGAGCAGAGAGAGAAAGAAATTCCTGTTGAGGCAATATTCGAACCTGCATACCCACAATCCAAAGGCGAGCGTCTTAACCACTTGGTCAACGAGACATAGCATAGCCTTGAATAATATGGCAAGAGGGTGGAAAAGCGAGTGGGGCTAGGAAGCATGACACATAGCCTGGGGCGGGGAGGTGCTCTTGGGGGCCCAGGTCTTCCTTGAACTACTGATGGGGGTGGCGTGTGGTCGAAAGTAAATGATGCAAGTGGGTGTGCTTTTAAAACAGTAAAGGTCTTTAGCGAGTGCCCTTCCCCCTTCCCGAAAAAAAGTTCCTGCTTATGGGCCCAGTGAATAGGACGGAAAGGGAAAACAGTGAGTTTAGAGAAAGAGTTGAGAAAAAATGAGGCACAGAAAGAAATGGAAAGAAAGAGGTACAAAAAAAGGATAGAAAAATCAGTGAACGAGACCACGCATTTCCATGTATAGAGTGGCTTGTGAATTTTAGCAAGCACAGCGGAACAAGCACGTAACAATGATAATTGTGAAGTTATAACGACTCAAGACCACAAACACGTCAGAAAGAGACATGTAAACAGGACAGGAGCTAATCTCGTTTATGCCCCATCCTTTGCGTCTCTTTCATACATGTTAGTTCTACTGTGCTTGCTACGATGCACAGGTTTTACACCCACCAAATAACCCAAATTTCTGCGTTGTGTGGAGTATTTAGCACTAGGCCGGAGAGTGGTGAGAGCGTCAAAGCCAAGTCAGGTCGAGCTATGTGTCCACCAGCCCCTGTTGTGGCACAGCCTTATACAATACTTTTTTTTGTGAGAATGCTGTTCCTGCTTACTTTGCAATTCTAAGATCATTGTTAGCTTCAATTTAATTACCTATATTGTTTTAATTTTCCAATTTTGCACCAGAGCCCTGGCACTAAAATATCTCTGGCATGTCGCAAATATCGATGCGCCCTTTTTCTAGCGGCCGTGTTTGCTGAACAACATTTCCTCCAGCTTGTCATACTGAGTGGAGCAATGCAATATACTTTTTCTAGTAAATAATTGTGCGAGCACTGGCCGACCCTGTCAAAATCTGCAGCTCCACAGCAAAATAGTGTTAATGCTCTCCTCAAGGACCTGTGTGGTGTTTTCAGTCTGCGTGTTTTCAGGCACATCAAGCATCTTCACGTGGCAAGAGTGAGACCTTTAGTACTGTGGGAAGTATAACTTATGCCGCTGTCACAAGGAATGTGGCAAATCTAATGTCATTTACAACGAATCACGTTAAGCAGACCTAATGTCCTTTTACTTGCATGCTGTCACACGATGAAAACAAATGTCATTTTTTGAAATGATGACCATGACCTTAGCCTTCCTGAGCCGTGGATTTTGGGAGAAATAAAAGTATACTAAACCTTGCATGTAGCACATGTATCCACAAAAATAATGTTTATGGGTGAGAAGGTGCTCCTGGAATATAAATGCAGCTGTTTCACTCAACTTGTGACAGCTGCATGACACATTCGAATACCTATATGGCCGGCGATGTGACTAGGTGTGAGTACAATGAATTGAAACATGGCGCATGACTGACTTCCCGGCTGCAGAAATGAGAGGGTAACAGCGATTTCGTGTAGTCACCACCTTGGTCACCACAGCACGTGCAATGGGACGATCAACATCCACGATACAGGCAACAATGACAACAGAGCACAAATTAAACGTGGCTGGTGTCGAGCCGCTGTAGTTAAAAGTATGAAAGTAGCTTTTTTTTCGGTAACTTTAGCTAGGGCTATTATCAAACCAGTAATAAGTTAATCTAGTAAAGAATAAGATATTTACAAATGATAAAAGTTACGTATTTGTAAGTTAACAGTCTGAAGTCGAATGCGAATCTGTTTTGGGAACTCATTCGACAGAAAATGTCGTTTTCATCAAATGGCATTAGTTTTCTCATGTGACACCAAATAATGACATTCACTGTAAATGACATATTTGCCATGTGACAGCGGTATCACTCATTCATGTGAAATTAATCTTCTCGTCAGTGCCTCAATAAAGGCACAGACCACTGGCCAGACTTTGCTATAATATACTAGAGGAAATGAAAAGACCGCGAATAATAGCGACAGATTCAAGCATTCATTTTTTTCATTTGAATAGGGTTATATACTTAAATTCTGTTTCAGTACCGCGGAAAAACCACTATGCCGCACAGCCTCGTTTTGATGCTGCACTCTGGAGTCGTGTTTGGCAAGCGTAGTCTGAGGCTTTTTATGCATGCCATAATTAGTGCTCAAGACTGGAGTACGTATGTTATTGTCCATTCTGAATCGATTCTGTTATGCTTACACGGCAGAAACGAGTTTACTCTGAGGAATGTCACGGCTTTCATGACTTGTTGAGCATGTCGAGCTGCTGCACATGCGTGCGGAATTGACACGCACACAGCTCACAAACGTGAATCATTGTCGTGTTAAGATGTCATTTGCAGCACGTGTTGTGTGCAAGGCTCTACAATTGCCACGGATCTAGAAATTCTGATAATTGTTTTGTGGCATCCTATCACCATAATGGTAATTCGTTTCCTTTGTTATGTACAGCTAGGATTGCTGCATTTTCTCGAACAAAAAAAGAAACTGCTCTTCGATGGGGGAGGAGGGGGAGATGAGCTACCAGGAGATTAAATTGGTGTTGAACAATGCAGGCCTTGTCAGGTCCTTGGCCTGCAGTGCCATTTAATTTAACATCGCTTTTCTTGAGCCAAATAAACCTGCTGTAGCAAAAACGGCACACAGAGCTAGCCTGGTAATCTAATGCTGGCATAAAAACACCCATGATTAGAATCATTCTTCATTTACTGCTCTGAAAAAAAAAAAAAAAAGCGGGGGGGGGGGGGGGTAATGACGGTGGCTGTGGACTGGCAACTGATCTGCAGTCTAAAAAATTGGCTGAGCTGTTCTAAAAGCGAACAGGTGGCAACCCTATATACAACCTATTCAATTCCAAGGAGAGTTCAGGGGGGTTATTTGTAGTGTGTCAATGTTATATACTAATTATTAAATGCTTGTAAAAAAGTAAAAGCGGACTAAAAGACAACGTGCCACAAATAGGGACCGAACACACAATTTTCAGATAATGCATTCGATGTTTTGCCGATTCGCCTACAGGGGCGATCGTTGTCCGAAGATTGTTGGTTCAGTTCCTGTGAGTTGAAATTTCTACAGCGAAAGCTTTTTGTGGCTAGGAGAAATGAAAAACCGTTCGGTAGCGGTGTCATGAGTGGTCTCCATTTGCTGTGTTATCAATTACTTCATTCACAACATCGTATCCAAGCACGTGCATCATTGGCTACGTTGTGAGCTAGCTTGCGGTGTCAAACACTTAAAACAACACCGCAATGAGGCGTCAATGTTATGATTGCGGGACCGTGTTTGCTCGTGCGGACTCTTGCTTTCGGCGGGAGTTTAGCTTCGGCTGCAACGTCTGTGGCCGCCTGTGGTTCGAGAACAACCGCTGTAATCAACACATTGTGAAATCATTCAACCGCTCATTACACTCTCATGCGATATGGCATGTGAAATGAACACTGTGGTAAACCCAAGCCAAACGTGTGTCTAACCTCGTGAAGAAGCACGAACTTGTAACCAATAATTGTTAAAGGCTTCAATGCAGCGATGGGTTGAATGCACTGCTAAACACCGGGGTCGCACGTTTCGGCTTGCGCTGGTTAACCATTTGTACCAAGCACTTGGGATGTGATAGTTTTTTTTTCTTTAATTTGTTTGCATTTGTATCATAAATACTGTGACATTTAAAGACTAGGATTAATGACCTTGTACCTCTCTTGGCTTCATTCTCTGTTTTATGAGCTTGCACATTCTGTGATCAGACACTGACTGGTAACTTTTCGTTGTGCTGAGGAAAACAGGTATCACAAAAATTGGTTATTTTGCTTTTTTTTAAACATATAACTTTGATGATTTCCTTACGAGAGTCTAACCCATGTGTGGGTGCTGCTTTTTTTTAGAAAGAACTGCCCTTGGTCCCCAAAACGTTTTCTCGACCGTCTAAAATGGTGGCTACGCTTAACCGCTCAATCCATCTTCACCTGATGGTGTGTATAAGCGTTACCTGGATTTCATTGCCCTCAGGGCTGGGCAGGTACTATTAAATTGTGTTGCGATACAATACAAGATACTCGATCAAGTAGTAGTCCGCCTCGGTGGAACAGCGCATACGGTGCTCGCCTGCTGACCCAAAGGTCGCAGTTCGATCCTGGCTGCGGTGGTTGCATCTCGACGGAAAGGAAATGCCAGAGGTCCGTGTACTGTGCAATGTCAGTGCACGTTAAAAAACACAACGGGGTTGAAATTTCCGGAGCACTCCTTTATGGCGTCTTGTAATCATATCATGGTTTTGAGGCCTAACGCCTCAGATATTATTATTATTGGGCTAGAGGTATGCGAGATAACAGAGAGAAGATGCTATGGCAGTAATTTTGTCTGATAGCATGTTTTAATTTCCATCTTAACCTGCTAAGGCACATTGCCGGGTAAGTTGGTTGTGATTCATAATTTATACAGTGTAGCCCGTCATAACAGGGACAGAGGAAAAGGACACACGGTGCTAAATTGCGACTAATGGTTTTATTTGTGATCACGCATGCGATTTATACAATAGCGGCAGGTCGATAAAAGCCCAGGCAACAACATGTAAAGATACAGCACGGAGCATGTATGTTTCATCACGAATTGCACCACAATCTGCACCCGCCTACATCAAGGAGATGGCTCCAGATACTACTTCTAGTTTCTAAATAATACTTCTAGTTTGACACCGCTGTACAAAACAGCGGTGTCAAACTACACATGGTTGCTACCATTGCCGCTGCGCTTGCCGGCTGAAGAAAAATTCTGAATCTGTGACATTTAAGGGACACGTGACTCGCCATACTGCGCCTACTCCGCTTTCCATGCGAGAGCACTGCAAACTGCTCC